AAAATTAATTGCTACAGATTCAAGATTGAAATGTGAAACGACAAAGGAAAGGAACAATTGTTTTCTTGGTGAATAGGAAAGGAAGCCCTCGTTTTCTCCATCGTGGAAGTGTTTAAAAGAATCTGAAATTGTGAAATAGAGACCAATGAAGATAGTCACGTGGAGTGTTTTTGGAATAAAGGACAAAATTGTCAGAATGGATAGAATGAATTTTCTTATATTATAGATAAGTAAAAGAAATTTTTTAAATTTTAATAAATATAATATTATAGTTTAGTATTAAAAAAATTAAATATAACTCCCAAATAATTTTTTCTATATAAATTGTTAACTTTATCATTAATGTTTTATAATTTATATCACAATTAATATATTTGTGATAAATTAATATGATTAATATTATTGACTGTTTTAAAAAGGAAGAGAATTATGAAAGTTAAGAGAAAATATATAGAATCACACGTAAAATAATTTAAAATAGATAAAATGTTTTAAAATCAAAATTATTAAAAATGAGAGAATATATAGAGTTAAACTAAAATTAAAGGAGGATTGAATTGATCAAAGTTTGTATTGATTAAAAAATAACAAATAAAAGGATGAACCATTTTAAAAAATTATTAAAATAATTATTTAATTAAATAAGTTTAATTATAAATTAGATAATATATTAGTATAAATATTTTTAAATGTCATGTATGACTAACTAACTTGATATTTATATTTTTTTATAATAAATAATAATTTCATTTCTTTGATAAATTTTATTAAATTGAAATATTTAATTATGACAGTTACTATTTGATTCGATATTATTTAAGGTAGAATTTACTCTACATTATATTGTTATTTTAATTTATATTTATGGTTGAATTTTTATTAATTTTATAATGATATTTAAGAGGGATAGAGTGACTCACCAACTTTTATTAGTTTATATGTTTATTTTATCTCACTAAACACTATTTCTTCTTATGTTTTCTTTTTCATTTTCATAATTTTCTATTTTTCGTTAGATTGTCTTTTTTATTTTAATAATCTTATATTATATACAGATTTTGAATATATATTTGATAATTTTATTGAAAGATTCATCATAAAGTTTCATTTTATAAAATATTATGTGTAAGTATTCAAGATATATTTGAGAATTTTATTGAAAAATAGATTCTTATGTGGTATTTTTTTTATGTCATATATTTGTTATTCATCTTCTTACAATTGATATCATAATTTTGAATTACTCTTTTGAGATGGATTGCATGGTAGAAAATAGTTTAACCATTTGAACATTGTATATGAACAATAATATGAACTAGTTTAAAAGTAATAAATTTTTGAAGTATTATGTTTTAGAATTACAAGTTGAATGTAGTTGTGCTATTTAAACGTCTAATGTTTAATTTGTTGTTTGTCTTAGTAAAAGATCTAATGTTATTGTAGGTTATCTTCGCATGTTGAAAATATGATTGAAGAACTATAATTTAATAGGAGCGATGGTTTATTTTTGGTTTGAGTTTCACATATAAATTAACTACAAATATTTTTTAAGTTTCATGTGTCTCATGTTCTATTAGGTTTTTGTTAAGACCAAGAATATTAATAATATTATAATAATTTATTAGTCATTTAAATATTTAATTTATTTTGTTATTATATAAATTTAGATGTTTGTAATTATATTTTGTACTTATTTTATCTTAATAATAACTTAATTTATATAATTTTTGTTATTATAGTATAGATATTTCTATAATTTATATTTATTTTATCTTAATAGTTATATAACTATTTAAATTAGAGTAATTATTAATAAAAATATTTCTTTTTATAGTTTATATTATTTGGATCCAGTTAATTTTACTATCTAATTTTTTAAAATAAGTTTGTGTCATTCCTAAAAATAATTAAATTTTATTTTTGATAGCTAAGTTATAATTTTATTATGTTTAAATTTAAATAGATTGAAATCTATCAATTTTTACTTATCAAATAAATTTAGCCATAAATTATATATGTATAAGTGAAAAAATATAAAAGAAAAATCATAAACTATTTTGTTGAGTAATCTAAATTTCATATAATAATGTGTATAAAATGATATTCTCTATCTTCCTTTAAATTAATGATATAATAAAATAAATATAAATTTGTAAAACAAATCAAAATCAAAATATTTTTTAATGAATTATTTATTATTTCTTAGAGTGAAAATAAAACTAATGTCAAATTAAATAATATCATTAAAATGACAATATACTTTAATAAAATAGTAAGTTTATAATTTATTAATTAATAATTTTGTATAAATATAATGCGGAAAAAGGGTAATATTGTATTGTAAAAAAACGTTAAAAAAAAGAAATAAAAAATAATGTGATGGGATGAAAATTTTCTATTAATACAATGAGTGACTTAAAGAATATAAAAAGGGGTATTTCAAAGGTACGTGTGCTAAGAAAAACATATTTTAAAAAACATGAAAATAATTGTTGATAAAAAGTATAATTAAATTTTTTTTATTAATTAAAATTTATCATTAATATAATGAGTAAATTAATTTCACATATAAAATAGAATTTTAAATTTTACGATTTCTTACAAAATAAATATATAGAGAATATATTTATATAAATAGACTTAATATAAATATGTATAATTTAATCTCACATATTATTGATTAAAAAGTATTTTTTTTTAATTTATTGTCTTTCATATTAAAAAAATTAATAATTACAAACATAATCTAAAGATTTACAAAATAATTTTACATGTAAGTAAAAATTAAATATTAATTATTATAAAAAATATGATTTTATTTCTAATATATCCGTGCGAGATCCGGTGTTTAATGGTAATATATTATCAGTGTAAAAAAATATTATACAAACATCCACTCAAAATATTTTATAGTACCAAATCATATGATTATTTTACCATACCAAATCATATAATTAATTTAAAATTTATAATTTGATTTAATCATGATTATCATTGACAATGTAAAAATAATGAGAAAAGAAGTAATGTTCAGGCAGAAAATAATTTTACATTGTCAATCAATTATAATCATGTATTCAATTATATTTTATTTTTATTTTAAAAAACTTTTAATATTATAACTGATTATTTACTTCCTATTGGTGATAAAGTAAATAAAACTTATACTAACCGTGTATGAATATTATTTTCAAAAATAATTTAGACCGTCACTGCAACATCTATTTTCTCTAATTGTATTAAAAAAAATTTAATTTTTAAAGTTTGTCCATCGCACAAAAAATATTAAATATTCTATTAATATTTTTCTATTCTATTCAATTTTTTATAAAACTTTTATTGTATTCAATTTACCCTCTTTTTAGTTTGGAATTATTACTAAATTATTTTAACTTCACCTTGTCCCTTTGCAAAGTTTGTGTTCTTCCTTTTCCTTTAACCTAGCTAATTTACAAGTGCAACACAAATCCCAGCGCGCCACCACCGTACTTCAAGCACGCCGCCGATTGGTATTATAATTTTCCATTTCTTCTTCCCCGTCCATTCTCCTTCTACTTCAATCTTCTCTATCCATAATTTATATTATCTTACAAAATATCGAAACTCCCCGACGGCAGTTACATGCGCCGTGTTGTTCTCGGGAAATGAACCCGTGGCAGCCGCGACAGTGATGATGTGCACCGCCCCTGGCATCACTGTAGCGGCCAGCGGTCACTTCCCCTCCGCGCCGCAATTAACTAGTTAGAATTACTTAATTACATGAAGTTTTGTTTTGCTTTGATTTATGAATATTTTATGAGTTGATTATATGTTTAATTTTTCATTAAATATATGTTTATAATTATTATATGTAATTTTTTGTCCGAAAAATGATCAAATATAGCGTTATACGCTATCCCATTATCCCCTTTTGGGGTCAGCCGCATCGTGCGCCGTCCGAGAATGGATTTGAATTAGATTTTAGAAATTTCTTTGTGTATTGTCTGGCTAGTATTGGTTAACAACTCAATGTTGAAGATTTGCAATTGATTGTTTGTTTTGTTGAGTGTGCAGCAGCGTCTAAGTTACAAGAAAAGCAGCTGAATTTGTGTACGTTTTATCAGAGATATGGGTGAAATTTGGTGGTCAATTTTAGGAGCAGCAATCCCTGTAGTTATAGCAGGACAAGCTTTTAGAGTGAAGAAAAAGAATGCGGAAGAGCAGAAGTTGAAGAGTGCAAGAGGAAGAGAAAGGAGTTCTGATGAAATTTTTGTCTGCGAAAGGGTCTGCACATCAAAGAGGATGTTGAAAAAGGTTGGCTCTTTCTCAAAAGATCCCATTCCTGATACTTGTGTTACTGTTTGTGGCGTGTCCGATCTTGATGCATGTGCCGATGCTTGTGCCCGCACTGTGTGCGTTAACCAACATCAAGTACCGAATTGGAATGACATATGCCTTAGGAGATGTCAGAGTGAATGTCTTAAACTTTCTTCTCAATCTTCTTAGCAGGTTAGTTGCATTTAGGCAATGAAATATGTACTTATGTATTGAGTTTTGTTATAGTTGTCGATGATTTGGCTCATCATGCCAACTCCTGAATCCAAATTTATTATAAATTCTATTGAAATGCAAATCGGGTTTTACTCAACTAGTTTGTAATTCGTTTTATTTACTGACTTGAATTCTAAATGCTTCTTTTGTTTCTTAAATCTGGCCTTGTTGGTGTATCAATACAGCACACATAAAGGATTAGATACTTGTAAAACAAATATTGACATATATAACCTACATGTATCTTATATTTCAAATACACATGAATCTCAGCATATCAACAACAAAAAATTACACATGGATCTCTGAATTTGATATAACTGCAGTAGTATCCTTTTATAATACTTCTATCTTATATCTATAGACCTGTAATTACTATCTTGAACAGAAAAAGAAAAAGCAATAAAATAATTAAGTGTATGTGTTTATTTGTGTTTGAGCAAGAATTTGAATGAAGAAATGGACATAAATCAATGACCAGGGCCTTTAGGACTTGGTCCAGAAGGCAAACGCTGAAGCCAAATTGACATTGTGTTCTTGGCTTGTTCATAAGCCGATGAGGTTTGTGTTTGGAGGTTATTAGCTTTTGCAAATGAAAACTCTTGAGAATTCCTTAAAACCCTGCTTGCTTCCACTTGACTCTGAGTTTCACTCATCAAAATAACCAAATAGATCATAACAATTGTGATCAAATTCAAAAGGGTGCATACCTTAACATAACTCATTTTTTGGAACTTTTAGTGGTACTAGGTAGCTTAGAAAATGAGTAGTTGTTTGTATGGAAGGTTGTTGTTACTTTGTGGCTTGGTGGTGGAGTAAGGGAGCAGGGTTTGGTACCAATTTATAGTGTGACAAAGATAACAGATGTGTTAAATTTGTGCTTGTCTTTTTGGACTTAACTTGCTTTTTTTGTGGACATTGGTTTGAAATTGAAGCAATTACGTGCTGACCAAGGACTTTGGAAGCTGCCACGCAGCTCCGAATAATAGTATTTTTGTTTATTTTTTATTCCAAGCTTTTAACCAAGCTTTAAAAAACTTGATCGAAACGGTCGGTTCAATTGATTGAATCGAGTTTGTTTGATATATTATAGTTCAATGACTCAGATTGAACTAATTTCAAAGTATTGTTGGTTCAACCGATTTTTATTATTTTTATCTGATTTATCGAACCTAAACTAACGTGTTAAATTTTTAAATAATTTTTAAAACATTAGTTTTATGTAATTTACTCTATTGCTATATACTGTTTAAATTAAAGTTATATATACAATTTGGTTACAAATGATATAAAATGTGATGCACATTTACGTGGTAAAGAGATCAACACATGGTTTCCATGTTTGAAATTGTCAAAGGTTGCTAAATTAAGTTGAATATGTTGATATTACGAATGAGTCCTTGTTTTGGAGGGTAGTTTTGGCTAAATAATTTTGACGGTGTAATGGTGGAAATTAAAAAATGTCTGATTTTATGCAGTAGTAGTAGTAGTATATTTTAGTCAAGTTTCTAAGTCAGCAAAAAAAAGTCAGAAAAATTGTGTTGACTAATTTTCATATTTGACTCTGTTGAGAAAGTGAAAATGATAGGTTACCTAACCTATGGAGTAATGGCAATTTATTTAACACTCAAGCTTTCTGTTAATTATATTGTGAAATTATTTATGAATATTTGTAGCTACACCTATAACACATTTGTAATTTAGTTTGGGGAATTCAATAACAACTTTGTCTTTGATTTCTGAAGGCTTTCTTCTGTGTTTAAATTCAACTAAACTATTCACTTTTGGGGTGTACTAAACCTCTGAAAACTTTTAAATATCTTTCGGACATGTAACTCTAAATGTATAATAAAAAGTGGTTCGGAGATGTATATCTTAATGTAACATAAATCAATTTTTAAGGTGTTTCAGAAATATATTTATGAAATCTCTCTTGTTTTCATGTTATTATTATTTAAACGTTGAATTTAAATAATAAATGGTATTTTCGAATATGCATATCCGAAAATATTGTTGTTATTTCAGCTTGATGCATGATCAAAATCTGCTACTACTATTTCATTCTCTTTGTTTCCCTCCATAATCAAAATCTATTACAAAACTTTAATCATTCTCAATCAATTTTTCATCTCCAAATCAAATTTCAGATGTTTTATCATATCCGAAATAACCTTAATTAAAAAAATAGAGATTATTTTGGATATATATGTGTTAAAGATATCATTTAATGGCTTCAGATATGCATCTTCGAACCTATTCGATAAAAAATTAAAATATGATAAATTCATATATATATATATATATATATATATATATATATATATATATATATATATATATATATATATATATATATATATATATATATATATATATATATATATATATATATATATATATATATATATATATATATATATATATATATATATATATATTAATGGGATATTACGGAAATTTTGCCAAAATATCCATAAGAACCCGTGAGAATCCTTAAGAGATTTCCTACTTTTAAAAAAATGATGGAGGAAAAACGGACAAATTCATTAGTCTCATCTAGTAAAAGAAAAAAAAAAAGAGAATTACTTCTCCCCCTGTCAAGTGGTAGAGAAACACCTTAAAAACAATTTCAAAAAAATTCTTATAAATTTGAAAATAAATTTACGAATTTTCTCATCAAATACTTACGTAAGTGAGTTACAACACCCATATCTATCGTATAAGAAAAAGTAGATATTCTGGAAATATCTAAACTACCCTGTTTGCTCTAAATTATGCCACGTGAATGCCTTAACTAACAAGCTAAACTTTTGCTTTGATAACAATTCAAATTTTCCTTTTATTTATGCTATTTTTTGCTTTGAAAGCATATCATATTTTCAAAATTTTACTGTTATTTCTTAGGTGGACTATTATTGTAATTACTGCAAACCTGTTTTCAATCTTCTTCCTTATGATTGGCACGTTATTGATAGCTTGCACAAGATGGAAACAATAATGTTTACCCAATAGCCTTTTTCTAGTTGAGGGAGAGACTTGTGGTGTCTAGAGTTTCTTTCTCAAGAATCTCCGAACATACATGACTCTGCAACCTAGTCTCTGCTTGATCTCCGACACACATGCTTATATTGAGAGTCTATACAATAATCCTGCAAATGGTTGACATGACCCCCTTCTACGCATGTCTACTACGTTAGACATATCGTACAAAGTTTCACGCGGGAGATCAAAGACATGGCTCTTCGGAAAACAGTTATGAACATGGGGTATGTATTAATACAACCTTTGTTCAAACACTATCGCAACAAGATCAGATTATCAAATTCAGATGCATGTAGGTGGGTTGATAATATTCTAGTGGAGAAATGGACGAGGTCATACGACAATGGGCAATGATGGGGCCATATGATAATAATTCTCATTGAATCAATGAACAGTGTATTCAAAGGCATATCAAACCTCCCAGTAACCGCTTTGGTAAAATCAACATATTTTAGGATGGATTCGTTGATTTTCAAAAATAAGTGAAATATGGAACGCGATCTTACAATCGGGACAACTATGTAGTGGAAGCTGCATGAAATTTATTAAGGCAGAAAGTGCCAAAGCCAACACCCATCTTGTTACAAGGTTCAACAGACATAACTACAACTTCATTGTCAAAGAGACAATCGACCACAACGAGGGGTTGTAAAGACAAGAGTATAAGGTTATACTATCATCTCATTGGTGCAATTGTGGAAAGTTTCAAGCCCTTCGTATGCCTTGCTCTCACGCCATTATGACATGTATGCATGCTCATCAAGATGCATAACTACTTCTATCTCCCATTTACAAGACTGAGACCTTGCTCAACATATACAACAATGACTTTCCAGTGGTAGCGAAACCATATTATTGGCATGTGTACAAAGGAGAAATAGTTTGGCACAATGATTAAATACGAAGGAATAAAAAGGGTCATCCCAAAAGCAAGCGTATCACAACTGAAACAGACTCCCTTGACAAGCTAGAAAGAAAATGTGATTTATACCGTCAGGTAGGACACAATCAAAAAAATTGTTCCTCTCATGCTACTAGCTCAATGATATAAATATTGTATGCAAACTATATGCACTTTTTAAAGATCTAAACGAAACTTTTTTTCATTAAGAGCATTTGTTACAACAAACCATATGCAAACAACAAATAAAAACACATCACGACTAAAACAACAACAAATACAACACGTAAATATAACATCAACAACACGATAAAATTTCTAAGAAATTACAACCGTCAAAACAATTTCATTGGATCCAGCATCATCATCATTACGTCTCTGTCTGTTTTGACTTCTTCTAACAAAAAATGAGATCTTCCAATAGCAAGTGAGGTGGTTCTTCTTATTCTCTGAATCCTTCTAATTTGTTCCTCGGCTACGATGTCTCCGTCTAACCATCGCACCAACTCTCTCTTTAGTTTGTCCATGGAATGAATGTGTCAAAAATTCATTTTCGTCGAAGGTTTGGTGGCCGAGAAAATAATATACCCATCTCTGGTGAAAATCATGAGAGATGTCATGATATAAAAAAACAGAGAGAAAATGAGAAGAGATTTGAGAAAGTGTAAAGAATGATGAGAAATAAGTGTTTTATTTATAGAAAACACACTTGCATGTAGGAGCCATCTCAGATGGTGTCACCTCCCTAATTTATAGAGTATGCGCCATCTCACATAACATAAAGGAAGTGTAGGCACTAAGTGAGATGACGCCTAAATTCAAAACTCCAGTGCATACGCCATTTGAAATGGCTACTGCATTATAACGTTTTCTGAAACATGATTATTTACGTAACTTTCTCTTAAATATGATTATTTATGTTTTTTTTTCAAAACATGATTATTACTATAAAAAAAATCTATTTATAATATCTTTTTATCTAGATCTATCTAACTAAAATTAATTTGTAAAACATAATTGTATTTAAATGCATATTGTCAATAATATTTATACATGCTTTCTTATCCAAATCTAATTACTTGTGTCTTGTGTCACTTTATCAAGTATTTCATTTATATTTTCAATATTAGAGACAACTTCAAATTACTAGCGTGTTTAAATGATATTTTTTAAGATAGTATTGAGATGAGATATCAACAATTATAATCAATAAAAAGATAAAGTTCACAATAATATAAATAATATAAATTTTAAGATAGGTTGTAATAATTTGAAATAGGTGTGATACAAATGTGATTTTGAGAATCATTTAGTCAAAATGAAAAAAAAAGTCATATGACTTTAATCGATAGAATTCAGTTATAATGAGCAAGATGTAATATGATTTTGAGACATATATGGTGAAAATCATAACAAAGCTAAATAATGATGTTATGTGCATTAAATATTCTGGATTAAGCCTGCTTTTAGCCCAAGTTCACATAAGGTTCATAGGAACACCTCAATCGAGCTCTGCTGTTAAAGTATTTTACTTGGCAGAACACCCAACTCGCGATGGGTAGTTCACGCCACAGGTTTAAGATTTCGACCGCGATCTTACACTCGTTTCGCAGATCCTTACTCCGCCTCCTCGACACATCCCAACATGTGCCGAATAATATGAGGGCCGAGCATACATCTCCACACACGGAAAACACGAACTTTCATGGAAAACTTATATCGACCATAACAAAGGTCGAACATACATCTCCACACATGGAATATACAAATATTCATGGTATA